GAATAATTTTGTAATCAAATGCTGATTTATTATAAATTATTTATTTAGATATTGTTACCATGTAGTAAGAGATGTGCGTAGATGGAGGCAGTGACAGCTTTCGATGCAATAGCATGCTATTGCAATGTAAGGTTCCAATGATAATGTTATTCTGGAAGATTTCCCTGAATTACATCGACAGATGACAGTCAATTGAGCTGAACAGCTGCATTTGACATCTCACTTTCTTACACACACACACACACACACACACACACACACAGAGAGAGAGAGAGAGAGAGAGAGAGAGAGAGAGAGAGAGAGAGAGAGAGAGAGAGAGAGAGAGAGAGAGAGAGAGAGAGAGAGAGAGAGAGAGAGAGAGAGAGAGAGAGAGAGAGAGAGAGAGAGAGAGAGAGAGATGACAGTGCTGCTGAATCAGTTTCTTTATTTCATCTAATGTTTTTGTGTTTTTCTAGTATTTTTTTCAGCATTTTGGTCACTAAGACACTGTGACAGATTATGCTTTAATACTGCCTTATTTTGTGCTGTCTATTTAATATGATTTATTGGTTTATATTATTGTGCCAAAGTATTTTAATTATGCATAATGACAGTCTAACAATGCAACTTCATAAGCATACAATTGATAACATTAAAATAATAAAATGTGTGATAGAGAGACACAGGTGGAAGAGCACTCAGTGCATCAGCTTCCCCTGCTTCCCTCTGTTGAACCTCTGAGTGAAAAAGACACAAACATTAAGAATACCAGAATATAAAATAAAAATGTAAATACTAAAAGTTTGTAGAATGCAATAAAATATCGTTCACATCATTGAAATACGAACCGTTTACTTGCTAATTCAACTCTATACCATTACCGACGTTTTACGAACATTTGATTTCTTTTCGGATCACGTGGTCTGTCTGGCAGCGGCTCCGCTGGATCTGCGGTCTCCGTGATTACCGGATCAGAGAAGCGATTTCAATTGAGCCCCGATCAGGAACCCAGAAAGACTCAGTTATGAGCTTAAGTCTTGTTTTTGGCGTTTATATAAAGTGTCTATTTAGGAGAATCTGTTCTGCCACTACAGTAGACAACTATTGTAGTTAATTCATAAACTTTTGTAAGTCAAGATGATGCGAGGCGGGTACAGGGGTGTTTGTATCAATAAGGACAGAGATCTCTCAGATTGTCTCAGCATATTTTCTAGGACATTGTCAGTGTCTTCAGAGACAAAAATTGTACGCATAAATGTGTTGTTTCCTCTAAGCCGCTCGGCAGAGAATAAACGCGTTCTCTCTCAGCTCGACATAAATGGGCATTTGCAGAGGGAGCGAATGGCGATGCCAGAGCACTTGGAAAAGCATATTTTTAATCTTAATCGGGAATTATTATTATTATGAATTATGAAATGACTAAATTTCGCTGACAATTTCATTTTTTGTTTTTATTCCGGACATAGGCCTACATAAACTCTTTTGGAGGAATAAAAATCAGAAGCGCCTGCGAGCCATGCAGGCTCAAGCCTTGTTTATACTCGACGCGTCCGCACGAGCGCAAGTCTCCGCTGACTGCGCGCGGACCTCTCCATATGGACGAGGCGTTTATACTTGACGCGCTCGCCGTTGTGCTATTCTGTGAAACGACAGGGGGCGACTCGGAGTAATTCTCCTCTAAACCACCAGGAATCAGCAGTGAAGAAGTAGTTTGCCATTTATTAGTAGTTTATTAATTTCTGATTCATATAAAAAGAGTAATAAATGCAGTAGGTTTATTGTACTTTCACTGCATGTAAACTAGTAAACAACTGAAGCCTTATTGAAGAGTGTTTAAACCTTAATTTCATCAGCAGGGCTTACTTCTGCTATTGTAGGCTTATTTTGTAAATATAAGCAGTTACTTTAGAGTGCAAACTGGGTGCTTAATGTAAATGTGTTCCTATTCAAAAAATGAGAGGCTTTTATGGTCGCCCATCAATGCAAATGTCTCTGTGTATAGAAGGATCATAAACATGCTGATACAGACGCACCAGTTCGGCCAGATTCGGCTCGAAGTCGTTCATCTTCGGATGCGGCGCCGCGCGCGATGTTACAAAAAGTGCCGTGCACACCGCCTGGCGAAATGGGGTCTTGCGCACCCAACGCGCACGACCGCCCACACCGCAATGACGTCATTTTTGCCGCGCGCACTTCGCGCTCTTGCGGACGCGTCGAGTATAAACAAGGCTTCAGGCGGCGATTTATGATGCGGTTGTTTGACAATCATTATAAAGGCTTGAGCCCCCACCCTAACAAAAGGTAGGGGCGTGTATTTTACTTTTTATAATAGGCTACATAAATAAGTATAAAATAAATAAAAACATAAACAGAGTAGCCTACTACAACATTAGCCTATGTTTTGACCGGTTAAAAAAAAACATTTCAGTAAACAAAAGTTAGGCTATAGAAAACAAGTTAGCACTCGACAGACACGCTGGTGAAAAGAAGTCAAGCCAAAAGGTAATTCGATAGGCCTATCGCAAGTAGCCTATGACCAAAAGATTTGTTAAAAAAATTGGCTACTTTAAAAAGTATTTTTACTTGGGTGATTGGAGCGCCAAATTTCTCAGAAGCGGAAGTCATAGTTGGGCAAACTTCGGTGAATGAGAGACTACACCGTCACCAGTGCGTGGGCGCTCTGAAGCGTTTTTTTTTAAAATATTTCAAAGTTACTATCATATTTAATGTGATTAACTTGACAAACTATACATCATTAAAACGATATAAGACTCAAGTTTCAGTATTTGACCACTATTGTATTTTGTGAAACTTATAGTGACAGTTATGTCTTAATATGTGTCAGGAGTTATGAAATACAAAAATGAGTCGTTACCTTTAATATGAATTATGAGCGTCAGCTGCTCTCATTCAGAAAAAAACTCCCGTGCGATCGTCATGACAGCGATTCACAAAACAACGTCCCTCAGGGCTTTTAGCTCAAACATGTGCAGATTTGGAGAAATATTGATAGATTCTCATAGGTTTACATCAGACTTCTATAGACAGGAATAATATTTATTGAATTTATACCCAAATGCGTCGATGTAATCATTTTGAGCGCTGTATACTCTGATGTACAGTTGTGTTATCCATTCATACTGAAGTCTGGGGCGCTGTTGCACAGTTAAGTCCATATATGGATCACATGAAGAAGAGCCATAATCATGTGACATTCAGGAAGTCCTGACACATAAACAAAGCTATCCGAGATCGCTGTAAAGTGCAGATAAAGATGTTTTGAAGACAATAAACATGATTGCAATGATATTTGATTTACCTGTGTTCTTCGAGTCATGTCAGGTATTTTCATAATAATAGATTATATGTATAATGTAATGCTAATCGAGATAGACTTTCAAATTGTGCAGAATACAATAAAATAATATATTTTCTATCTGATTTTTTTATCTGAAGCCAAATCAGATTACAGAAAGTTATTTAAAACACTCGACTTGCGCTATAAAGTAAGTTGGAGCACAAACATAGTTTTATTCTCATAAATTGTCGTGTATTGATGGTGTGCTAAGCTAACATGCTAGCTAGTACTGAGCACCTGCTACCTAACTTCGATGTAATTTTTATGATTTTTTTTCTAAATAAGAATGCTTACTGAAATGTTTCGTTTTTCAAAAAGGCCATTTGATACAGTTTCACTGTGAAGTGAGAACTTTTATAAAATAAATGAGGGATTGAAACAGTGTGAATTGCTAGTCGTTAGTGATTATAATGCAGACAAAAGAAAAGCATATTTAGAGCAATAACCAGGCTGGAGAGGTGTGAATATGTGCAGGGGAGCCTGAGACTGAATGGGACTCGTTTTTGCATCACAAAACAATAGAGGCAATAGACTGAATAGATGCTTATAAGATGACAATAAACACCAGTCTAATCAAAATAAAGTCATATGACATGATCTTGAAAAACATTGAACTAAATACAGAGTTTTAGACTTATCATCTTCAGATTTTAAATATAACATGGTTAGACATGTGGCTTTAGCTGCAGTGCATTTCTAGATTGCTACAATGCCAACTTCAATTTTATTTTCATGAAGATGTTTCATAAAAATAAATGTATAATAACTTTACAAAACTTTGAAGCTATTTATAACTATTTTTTTTCATTATGACTAATTAATTCTACATTTACAATAAACTTCCAGGTGTCAGCTTTCAAATGAGATCTTACTTGTGCTTTTAGTACAAAGGGTTCATGAACTGTATCTGTTTCAGTTTGGGAATGCCATATCTGGGGATTTTTCAAAAATGGGCTTGAAGCTTAACAGGTTAAATATATTTTTGTGTTCCCATTTGCTCAAATAACAAAACTCCACAATAGTGTTTTCACAACTTTCAAAAAGGGAAAAAAGAGAGAGATTGATAACTCAAGTCAGAAGAGAGAAAAACCACTCCCACAGCCGTTATTAAACACGTCACGGGCATTAACTAGTTTCTTGTTATTTAACGCAAAGATAGGCTAATATAATACAAAGTACAGTGTTATAAATATATATACATTAAAAAATTGAAAATTGAAAATGTAAAAAACTTTGTAGGATTTACGATGTTGAATCACTGGCTGTGAAAAGGGTCCACAAAATGCGTTCAGACGTCACTTTCGCGCCAGGATGTAACCATAGCAACAGTATTCGGCATATAATCCCTTATCGGACGGTAAACATATAACTACTGTCATTCTTTATCACCTTTCTGCACTTTTACTGTAGTTGTAGTTAAAGTATATCATGGAAACCTTTGTATTTTAGTAGCCTATATTAGTTTGCAGTTAAAAAAAATCATATTGAAATTCTCTTAAAAAGACGACCACACTGTTCGCACACTGAAGCTTCATAAAGCCGATAATTTGTCTATATTGGGGTGTCTAAGTGCTACATTAGATCTTGTCAGCACATTTGAACTGAATAGAGTAGCCTATGGTTTACAGATGAAGAGAAAGAGAGTGAGAGAGAGAGAGCGCGCGCGAGAGTGTTGCGTTTAATGTCGAGTGATGCCCTCCCCTCGCCACATCTCCTCCACTGAGATGGTGACGCTCCTTCAAAACTCCAGTCTCACGGCGGCGAGCGCAGATTGCTTGAGTCATCAAGGTTCATAACTTTACCAAATCTTTCATAGCTTATCTGCAAATGAGCTGGATGCCTGCTCTTGTCAGTATGCGATCCTGTTATATATAATCTTAAAGAGAAGAACAATAAAATATTCTTATGTTTTTACACAGGAGACTGTAACGCTCGTCTTCAGACTCTTTATATGCGCGCACCGCTGGTGCCAGACGCGCGTTTCCAGCCTGCGCTAATGATGCGATGCCCCGCAACCACAGTGGCGATGAGGGCGGTACTGGTCTCTGGATGAAGACCTCGCAGCCCTATGGCATGAAAGATGTTGAAGCCGGCCGTGGGACGATGAACAACGCGACCAGGACAGTCGACAGTTTGCTGTCGACGCCGGGCACAACAGGTGCAGTAGGCTCGGAGAACCAGAGGAGAAAGCAGGGCGCCCGGCTGAGCCTGCTGGGGAAACCGCTCATCTACAGCGCGCAAAGCGGCCGGAGAAACGCGCGCTACAGGAAGCTCCAGAACTACCTCTACAATGTCCTGGAGCGACCGCGAGCCTGGGCATTCATTTACCATGCCTTTGTGTAAGTCAAAAAATCTCACTCTTTTTGTTGATGACATCATGAATGTTCACAACTGAAGTTCACATGTTAAGTTGTATATAGCCTATACTGCATATGACATGTAGCCTATACATTTTTATTTGAAATGTCTCATTTTCTTTCAGAGAGTGAATCCTAATTGTGTTTGAAATGCTTAGCATTTGTACGGTATGTCTGAAAGTTTTATGAAAGAAATGTAGGGATGCAGAGAACTGTAATCTGCTGTATTACAGTTCATATTCCATTCTCTTTTCAAATAGAACAGTTAAACATAACCTAATGACTTGTTCTATTAGAGTAATTCAGGGTTTTTAAAATGTCTCTACTAGGTACAGTGTGGCCTTTGATTGACTAGGTTGTTTGTCATTTAAATGCACCAGTGAGGTTTGCGTTATGGTGTGCATTTGCTATTAATGTTACTGGGAAATTTATGATTATGGCTTTTCAGAGATTTTCTGTAAGCTCCCTGAAAGAGATGCTCTCTATATGACCCCAATTTAAAGGGAAATGCAGGCACTGTAACATACTTTTTTTGCTCAGATTGTTGCGTCTGTTGGCATGTTGTTAGGAGCGTTTTTAAGGAGGAAGCTGAGCTGTCGGATGGTGAGACTGGAGCACTGCGCTGTGCTTCAAGACAGGATGTTGTTGTTTTATTTGTGCTGAGAGGACAGCTGAGGTCATAGAGGTTAAGTTGTTACATCTGCAACGACGCATTGTCCCACATTAGTCAGAAACATCACAGAATCAGCACACTTGGACTGGGCTGCATGCTTCATAAAAAAATCAGGAGAGGAATGAAGTAGCTTTTACATGAGTTGCTACTTAGATGTTATCAGTAATTCGTTTTTTAACAAGTTTTAGAACATATTTCTTAAGCATTTGTTTTGTAGCCAACGATTTGCATAATTATAGATTATGGATATTGCATATAGCTTTTGAGGGTTTAAGTCAAACTCTTTGATTGTGTGCGTGTGCATAAAAAAAGAAATGCTGTAAACAGTGTTGATTGCGGTGAGAGGTTTTGTCATGAGAACAAAGTTAATAAAGAAAATTCTTTGAGACTGTTGGTTTTAAAAGACTGTGAAAGAAGACGTGGGACTGTTTGAAGTCAATGAACAATCAATCACAACACAATCTTGCCTTATCACCACTGTGCCTTTAAGCAAACCATATGCTGAACTGCTGTTTCCGTCATGTACTCAAATCCTTTGTAATGAATAATCTACTAAATGTCATATTATTAAGTAATAGTCATTGTGCCAGTATGCTTGAGGGTCAGATGTACAGTAGAAGCATATGTCCCATGTGAACACATGATCGATTCATTTCATTATTAATTATGAAGTCGTCATTTAGAGCTTGAACTTGATCTCAGTTGAAATATGTTATAACTTATATTTAAGTGAAGTGGTCATTATACGTCACGCGTGCTGTTCCATAATACGATAAGTTAGTTAAAGTGGTTTGCTGTAGTTTTTAAGATGAAATTCTTAAATGCTATTCTATTCCAAATTCTATTCTAAAATGGATTTGTGCTTGATAATTTGTTACTGTAAGATTTTTTTTTAAATGGTATAACATTTAATGAAAATAACAAGCTGTAAAAAGATAATATAAAAATATCTAAATTATTAAAATTATAACAAACAAAATGATAGACGTTATTTGCTCATATGATACTTTCACCGTTATTTCCAATAGAGCATATATCTCTAGACAAATAAGTGTTTGGAGTTAAGGTGTGTGCTATTAATTTTTTAGAACATTTTTAATGATTCATATGATTTTCAGTTTGTTTCAATTGCTTTTATTAATTGATTAGAGACTGGCTGAATCTGACATTCTGAAATTATAAGAACTTGCCTTGTTGTTTGTGTGTTGGATTATCAAATGCTAGAATTCTGAATTTTGTGGCAAGGCACCCACACCAACATGCAGTGTATAGTCTAGCATTTATTATAGCACTATACTGTATGCCACACGTGAGACTATTATGCACTAGTCTTTTATGAAGACGACTTTCTGTTTAATAGGTTCTTTAAATGGGAAGGATTTTCATTGGCCATATCAATAACTTCACAGTTGTCTGCTCACCCAGCAAATGTTTTTACAGCGCATCAAAGCAAGCTCTTTTATCTCTTTGTGATGAGCAGATTACAGAACTGCAGCTGAGCACATTTTACCAAGGTTAAAGCTCCGCTCCACCTCAAAACCTCACCTCAGCATCAACATCAACAAAACACTCTCTGATAATCATATTTGACACTCAGATAATATAACGAGGGAATTTTTCTACTTTCATTAAACAAACCTACCTGTATTCTTTCCGTATGCATTAATACATGCGGTTTCACCAACACAAAGAACACATTATGCTGCCATCATGAACACTTACATCATTAAAGCCACATTCAGTTTCCTTTATCCCCTCAGAAATCACATACTTTCTTTAAGAATGAAAAAGGAAATTGCACAGTAGGTGAACACTGCCATAATCATCTGTGTCGGTATACGTCATGCTATAGTTAGATTCAAGCCTACTTTATATGACTGAGAATTCATCTGGTTCATTGAGTTCCTTATTCACATTTCCTAACTGTGTTCCATTTCATGGTTTAGAAAACTTTTAGAATTCTATTTACAGTAGATGGTTTAGATTGACTTGATGCTGAGTTATTGAGTGATTTGTACCACACACGGGGGCAGTGGGTTTTTATTTTGTAACAAAATATTTCAAAATTCCCACCTGTAATGATCTCCTGGACTCGACTGTGACAAAAAGAGCAACAAAGGGCCTCTTGTTCTCTGTGCACTCAGAAAGGTGCTCTAGTTTGCCACTGACCCGGCAAGACAGAATGTGATCTATACAAGAGCCAGCCAACTAACATTAGAGATTTTTCTACTTTGGCTTAAGATGTCAGGTTGGATTTAATCTGATTTCCTTACACCGGAATTCGGACGGGAAATTAGGAGATGTCAGTTTTTGGTTTCATTTGTCTTTTGAAGCAATGTAGTATACATTTACTTGCATCTATCAATATTGACATCAAGTACCAATTTTCTAGCACCGTTTGATTGTGTAGGTCTGCTTAGAGTACTACTAGAGTTATGCAACACTTAGTTCGGGATTGACCAAGCTTTTCGCAGGTTATCACTTCGGCTTTATGTTTGCAACAGTCCTGATAAGATTTATTTATTTCTTTTTACTTGGATCAAGGGACATGTTTTGTTTTGAGAGAGAGACAAAAAAAAAGTTCTTCTTGAGCTGTTATTGTGTTTATATTTAAGATTAATGCTCCTGTTTGATGGAGAACACCATTGACCCACTGGCCACAGACGTGGACCAGTCACTTTCATTCCCATTATTGTCGTAATCGAAATGCAAGCTGCTGTTGTTCACATTGGAAGGTATATGGAAACAAAGTAGTCTCTCGGTAAATGGAAATAAAGATTTTAGAGCGGTTACAGATGCAAAAAAAGTGCAAAGAGAAGGCAATAAACAGGGTGTCATGCCTGTGTTCCAGTGGGAGTATGAATGGTAGGGGGAAAGGCCTTTGAAAAGGACACTGTTTGATCACGTCAGGTACTCCTGACACAAGACAGACCTCGAGGAAGAGCTGCAGCCCTCAGACAGGGTACTGCTTCAGCATGTTGACTTGCCAGCCGTGTTGAGAGAAAACTAGCAGCGTAGAACATGGATCTAAAAATTTGGACATTTCTGTCCTTCTGTGTATCACCACTGCAGATTAACTAATATATCATTAAAACTTTCTGTCTTTTGAAAGAAAGAACCCAAGAAACATTTCTTATTATTATCAAATGGTTGCTTAAATTTGAGCATTTTTTGAATGGATTTTTTATGCAATAGAAATCTTACGTAACATTATAAATGTCTTTACTGTCGCTTTTGTTCAATTTAATGCACGCTTGCTGAATAAAAGTATTAATTTCTTAAAAAAACAGAAAATACAAGACACCAAACCTTTGTACAGTAGTGTACAGTATGTGCCAGCAGAATTTTACAGAATTGAAATGTGTGTTATTTCTACATATGATCCATCACTTCGGCGCAGAAAGTGTGAAAAAAGGCAGCAGATTCTGTTCGGACCTGGCTATACGAGCTACCGCTGCTCGAAACTTTCATTAAAATTAATGTTGGTATTAAGTTTAATAACAGGGAGGCCATTAGCCAAAAACAGTTTCTCAAAGCAACAGTACTGTTTTGTCGTTGTAATGGTTTTTCATGATATGGATGACGAATCAATAGAAAGCCTCATTCGCTATAGTTAACACAAGGACTTTGTCATTCCATTCTGCTGATTGAATCATTTTAACCGGGTGGTGTGTAGTAAAACATCAGAAAGTGGTCTTATATTAGTTGCCCTTGCTGACAAGGGGCTGACTGATGGAGGCAGCCGTCTTCTCTTAATAGCAAACCCTTGCAACATAAGTAGTCTGTGTGGCTTGGCATAACCCAGAGGGGCTTCCCTACCCAGCAGTGCCCAAGCAAACTGGGCTAAAGAGTAATTGCCTTGCCTGGAAATACATTGGGGGTCTTCCATCGCTCACTATTCCTTGTCTTTGATCTTGCCTGTCTGCATGAAGTGGTTCCCCTGATAACGCAGCATTTTGGTATGAAGACAGGTGTGCATGGAATCTGGGTTGACAGCTCTCTGTCTGATTGGATTGATTGCAACAACTTATGAATTATAACAATTAGTCAGCATATATTCCTTAAGGTTTTCTGAATCATTTTTCCTGTTTGCTTCCCCTGCACATTAGCAAGTAATTTCTATCTGCGTCGGAATTGGCACACATTCAGGGTAGAGTATGTGCTGAACTTCTCAACTTGATGAAGAACATTTTTAGGAATGCATTTGTGTTGTGTGACTACATTCTTAGACATATTACATCCATCATGCTGTCTGACTTTTGACCCGTGTGGTCTTTGATCTTTGATCTATGACATACTAACAACAACT